CTCTGCCATTCTTCTTTAACTGTCGACCCGCTGGGTAACAGCTCTGATTCAGATGCAGAACGTCTCCTCATCCATCACCATTTAGGCTTCTGCTCTTTTCTAGTCTCTAAGCAGGACCTGGCAACTGTTTTGAAGGTGGGAGGGCTGAATACTGGCAGGTAGGCTGTCACTAATTTTACCTAGTTGCAGATACTTGCAAGAATGTGCCAAATTACTTTTTCTCACACATTATCATTGAATGTTTTCTTAGAAATGTCCTCCATGTGTTCAGTGTAAGATACTCCCAAGAATGAGTGCATATAATAGCTGCAGAAAGGTTTATGATTCTTCACAGAGCTCATCTATTATACTCTGTCCTAATATTTCTTACTGTTTGCTCATTTAGTAGACTTAAGATTTCTAATCGCATAGGAATTTTGGTGGCCCAATTTTGTCAGATTATTTCAGGGTTGGGCTTAGTTCCTCCTCTCAACCTAGTCTCCTTTCTGGAGGGTTTGGGTTGCCTTCATGGGAGGTCTCTTCTAGCAGGCACATGCCAGTCAGTCAAGTTAGATGCCACACTATGCCTGAGATCCACATACAAACTCCAGGAAGGCTACTTTAATAGAGGGTCACCCTTTGTGTATATGCATGTCTGTTATCGATTTATGAAAATGACAGGGCACCAATTCATTTCAAGCTGGAAAATATATTTGAAAAAGAAAGCCAATATGCCATCTAGTGTTCATTAATATTATCCAGAAAACCAGGAAGGAAATGTAAAAGATCTTAAGCAATTTAAGAAATCTTAAGCCAATTCACAGCTTGGTATACTTAATCTTTCAAAAGATGAATTTAAAAGAACCGTTTAACCTCTCCTCCCACTTTCTTCATTAATCACTTTTCTGTCTCACAGAGCCACCTCATTTTATTTTTCCACAAGTTAATTTGTGACATGGCACCTGTCCACAGGCAATGAAATTCCCTGTTGAGGGGAGACCTGGGACTAATGCAGTATTGTCGCTAGCATCTCCTGCCATGTCCCCAGCCCATGCTGTATGTGGCAGCATTGATTCATTGTTAGCAAACGCATTTCAAAAACAATGCAAAAAATGACCTTAAATGACAAAAAAATGACCAAAAAATCTGCATGACTGCATCAAGACTTTTTGTTATTTCACTGCACAATACTAATTTATGATGGTCTTCCTTTAATTTTAGATGGAGAAATTAAAATAAAATTAGAATTTCTTTCAAGCTGTGGCGTAGCTGGTTGGGAGTCCGCTGCATTAAAATCACTACTGACCGAAAGGTCACGAGTTCGAGTGCAACCTGGGTCAAAATAAGCTCCCAACCATTTGTCTAGTTTGCTGTCAACCTTTGCAGCCCGAAAGACAGTTGCATCTGTCAAGTTAGAAATTTAGGTACTCCTTTATGAGGGGAGGCTAATTTAACTAATTTACGAAGCCATAAAAATCTCCAGCAGCATGCAAAAGAATGAGGAAGTACTCCATCAGTGTCACAAGTGGATGGTGAAGAGACAGCTCCCCCGGTGGCCGGAATTCCAGCATACCTTCATGAAGCTGGAATGTTATATACCCTCAGTGTGTCTGTCTATATGTCTATATGTTGTGTGTCTATGGTACTGAATGTTTGTCATGTATATGTGTATTGTAATCTGCCCTGGGCCCCCTACAGGGGGAGAAGGGCGGAATATAAATACTGTAAATAAAATAAATAAATAAATAAATATTTTTTAGCAAAAAGAAGTATCACTACATTTGGCACTGCAAAATGCCTCAACTGAAAATTATGAACCCATTCCATCCATCTGATTGTGATATACTTTCATCAGAAGTATTAATTTAGCCAACAGTAACCACATATTTAAATTTCAGAGTGAAAAAAATATTTTCACATTGAATAGAAAAGCTCACATTTACATTTATCTGAAAGCAAAGGTTGAACTTTTTTTTAAAAACTTGCTTTTCATACTTTTTGTATTCTTTGCTGTTGTGTATTAGACCAAAACTCTTGTACATGTTAGAATTACAGCAGACTCTGAGTAAACCGACTCCATGGGGATGGCAGCAATGGCTCCCAACGTGATCCATTTAAGGTGGAATCAGGTGTCAAACAGGGATATGTTATTGCCCCACCTTTATTCTCCATCTTCATCGCTATGATACTTCATCTTGTTGACAGGAAGCTTCCCACCGGAGTGGAAATCATATATCAGACAGATGGCAAGCTATTTAACCTCAGCAGACTGAAAGCCAAAACCAAGGTTACAACAACATCTGTTATAGAACTCCAATATGATGATGACAATGTCATCTGTGTGCACTCACTCAGAAGACAACTTACAATCCACTCTAAACACCTTCGAAGAAGCATACGAGAAGCTTGGCCTGTAACTGAACATCGAGAAAACCAAAGTGCTGTTCCAGCAGTCACCAGTCAATCCCTCTCTAATGCCAGGGATGCAGCTTAATGGTGTAACATTAGAAAATGTTGACCATTTCCGCTACCTTGGCAGCCTCCTCTCCACCAAAGTCAACATCGACACCGAAATACAACACCACCTGAGCTCTGCGAGTGCAGCATTTTTCTGAATGAAGCAGAATGTGTTTGAGGACCAGGACATCCATAGGGATACAAAGGTGCTTGTTTATAAAGCTATTGTCCTCCCAACCCTGCTATATGCCTGCAAAACGTGGACTGTCTACAGGCGCCACATGCAACTCCTGGAACGATTCCATCAGCGTTGCCTCTGGAAAATCCTGCAAATCTCTTGGAAAGGCAAGCGGGCAAATGTCAGCGTGCTGGAAGAAGCAAAGACCACCAGCATTGAAGCCATGGTCCTCTGCCATCAACTCCACTGGACCGGGCACGTTGTCCGGATGCCTGACCACCATCTCCCAAAGCAGTTGCTCTACTCCGAACTCAAGAATGGAAAATAGAATGTTGGAGGACAGGAAAAGAGATTTAAAGATGGGCTCAAAGCCAACCTTAAAAACTCTGGCATAGACAGTAAGAACTGGGAAGCCCTAGCCCTTGAGCGCTCCAGCTGGAGGTCAGCTATGACCAGCAGTGCTGTAGAATTTGAAGAGGCACAAATGGAGGGCGAAGGAGAGAAATGTGCAAAGAGGAAGGCATGTCAAGCCAACCCCGACTGGGACCGCCTTCCACCTGGAAACTGATGCCCTCACTGCGGGAGAAGATGCAGATCAAGAATAGGGCTCCACAGTCACCTATGGATCCACCACACACTGCAGACTGACCCCGGAGGACCGTCCTACTCGGACAATGAGGGATCGCCTAAGTAAGTAAGTATTAAAATGGGTGTAATACTATACCCCATAATAAATTATACCATAAATTCTGTATTGGCTTACTATTAATATTGAAATATAACGCTTAAAAGCAAATTAGGACAAACAGAAACTTCACGTAATGTAATACAGTTTTACTATATTATAAAAACAGTATGCAATTTTAGTGAAATGGCAGTCAATAATCTTTTCAACTTAATGAACTTCACTAATGTAATTTTTTAAACTTCAACATAGAAGGAGTTGGAAACAAACATGAAGTGCATGAATGCTCATGGAATGGCTAGTTTAAACTTAGATTTCCACTAAAATTATTTTAATTTGTATTTCAAGTATTAATTTGCATTTCAAGTATTATTTCTTCAAATTTTTGCTGGTTGCTTGAATTCTACTTAGAATCATAGAATAATAAGAGTTGTAAGAGGCCACATGGGCCATATAGTCCAACCCCCTGCCATGCAGAAAAAGCAAAATCCAAGTAACCCTGACAGTTGGCTATCGAGCCTCTGTTTAAAAACTTCCAAGGAAGGAGCTTCCACCACACTCCAAGACAGAGAGTTCCACTGCTGAACAGTTCTTACAGTCACTTCTTCCTAATGTTCAGGTGCAACCTCCTTTTCTGTAATTTGAACCCATTGCTTCAAGTCCTAGTTTCCAGGGCAACAGAAAAAAAAGCCTGCTCCCTCTTCCTTATGACATCCTTTCACATACTTATCATATCTCCTCTCAACCTTCTCTTCTGCAGGCTAAACATGTTGTTATTTATTCATTCAGTCGTTTCCAACTCTTTGTGACCTCATGGACCAGCCTACACCAGAGCTCTCTGTTGGAAATGGCCACCCCCAGCTCCTTCAAGCTAAACATACCCAGCTCTTTAAACCACTCCTCATAGGGCATGATCTCCAGAGCCTTTGACAATTTTACTTACTATCCTGTGGACACCTTCCAGCTTGTCAATATCTCTTTTAAACTGTGGTGTCCAGAATTGGACACATTATTCCAGGTGAGGTCTAGCCAAATAGAGAGGCATCATAACTTCTCTCGATCTAGACACAATAACCCTTTTGATACATCCCAAAATCCTACTGGCTTTTTAAGCCACTGCTTCACACTGTTGGCTCATGTTCCACTTGTTCACAAAGACTCCAAGATCTGTTGTTGTGCCAGGTATCACACATCATGCATCTTTGTATTTCATTTTTAGTGCTTAAGTGTAGTATCTTACATTTGTCCTTGTTGAAAATAATTTTGTTAATTTTGGACAGCTTTCTAATCTGTTAAAGTCATTTTGAATTCTAATTCTGATCCTGTCCGAAGAATGCGTTTTTACTGTTTTTAATCTCTCTGGCAAGGCTGAGCTCATTTTGAACTTTAGCCTTACGAACCTTTTTCCTGCATTATTTGTTTGAAATTTTCTTTGGCGATTTCCCTCCTTTTCCATTTCTTGTACATGTCTCTTAAATCTTAGCTCAGTTAACAGTTTTCTGGACATCCATTCTGGTTGTTTTGTATATGAATTCTTCTTATACAAGTATGTGATCTATTATTCTTTGTACACATTGTCCAAAATTCAGTGAAACTGTCAGACACACATCATACATTTAAGACATACGTCTACTTGATAACTGAACTAAATTCAAAACACATCATGAACCTTCATACAATTAATCACACAGATTACGCCAATTATTGTATAAAGTTCCAGAAACACTTTATTTAAAAATGGAGTTGTAAATGCTTGTAACTACATACATAATATATGTAACAAAAAATAAATAAGGAGTACGCATCCATACAAATAAGAACATTGTAAATGCCAATATTTATTACAGAACACAAAAGGTAAACGTCTGAAAAAGAAACACATAAAGACCTGTGTGAAGAGCCTAAATGTTTAATTTTTCCATAACCATTTCCTGTTTTTTTCACACTTGCATGTTTGTGGTTCTTCTCCCAAGCAATGAAATAAAGAAAGGTATGACAATGGCCAAAATCTTGTCACTATCCTCCATGTATTTTGTCATACATCTGTTTGAACTTTGACAACATCTGTAAACAAGTGTTTTCCTGACCTCTGTTAATAGAGAGTGGGATACAGAGTTTGAAAAGAGGCAGTTTTTAATTTTAAAGCAAAAAAAATCCAATATACAACAGGACTATTCCTTTTTTATTTTTATATCGCTACAAAAAGTCTGTTTTTATATTTCATTGGTCAAACTTCGTCATTACTTCCAAAATCCTGTACAGTTTAAAAATGTACAGGAAAAAAAGTATTTTTAAACAAGTGACACATGAGATTATTGCTGAAATATTAAAGACTATTTCATAAAAGCTTCAGAGTTGTATCCATAACCATTATAGACTGATGCAAAAACATAGGAAAATTCCAGTTATTAGTAGCATTTAACAGAAGACCTCGAAATTACAGTGTTCTGGAAATACAAGATTAATTTTATATTATTATTTCCAAACTTTAAAGTTACTGGGACAGCTTTAAAGATAAAATAGGCTTATATGAGATATTTTAATAGCTTTGCAGTAAGCAGGATAAGCAAAAGGCCTATGTTAGCAGTTTTCTTCCAGAATTTTTATAAACATATAAGACAGTCTTACTATAGGGTCTACAGGAAAACATGAACAATTTATATGTCTGGGATCCGCCTACTGACCAGATTATTACTACTCTATCTCCAAATGTTCTGACGAAAATTTTACAACTCATGATTATCTCAAGGAGCACTCATAAATCTATTTTGTGTTTGACCTTGGTGACAAACCATGAGATGGGATTTCAGGTAATAGACACACATAGCTATACATTTAAACTGGTTTCATTGCTCCAAACATTTGGACAGAAATGATATCACATTTAATTTTAATCAACATCAAAAAAGACATATTGAACAGGATCAGCAAGGGCCAGTTGGATTCTTTTCGGAAGTGGACTCACACTCCAGTGTGAATGTATGTGTGGTTTTTTAAAAGGGAAACCGAGCATGTTTCTGAGTACAGAGTTATTGCCTCTATTTATACTGATACGTTTATCTTCCACTACCAGCAATCTTTTTAGTGCAAACATATTTTGAACTCTGTAAAACCCAGGACAATTTACATAGCAATCACAATGGTTTGAAAATTTTAGTATGCAACAATGAACATACTATGAAGCCTATTCTTCTGTATACTGTTGTGTCATGTTACTAAAATGTAGTGTTCCCTAATTTAGTTCCCATTACACAGAATCAAATTTAAACACTCAATAATTTCATTCAAATTTAGGTTGAAGAGACTCAATTACAGGTCATTTCGGCACAGGAACCTTAGACGTTTAATAATCATGTTGGACTTCCATCTGTTTGCAGTCTTCTTTAGCAAATTAAATAATGGAGGGAAATATTCAAAGTGCTTGCAAAGCCCATAAAATATAAAATACCACAAACGGATCTCTGTGTAGGTACCAATGTTTACCTTAATGAGCCAGGTGATGTGTGTGACATTTAAAATATCACAATTAAGTTGTTGGTATAAGGAAAAATTGGCATTTTAACCACACTTTTTCTTTAAGTCTGAATGATGCTATGACTCTCATTGAATTCTGAACATTAAATCAATATTAAAGATACTCATGACACTTACGTCATTCACGCAAAGTTGGATCTTCCTCCTCTCCATCTGGATTGAACCTATTAAAGTGTATACTGAAATCGTGCTCAGATTCTACACTGCCAAGTTCCCTTGAAGCAGAGGAAATAGTTGGACGGACAGCCCTTGCCTCTGGTTGACAATTTGGTTGCGACTGAGGCTGGGCACTTTGAGAAACAGGACTGGACTTCTGCTTAGGTTGAGGTGCCTGAGCAGCAGCAGCAAATCCCAAATTACTCAGAGCATCCAATGTTCCATCAGGGTCAATCATTGAATTTATCACTGATCAAGGAGAGAAAAATGTGAGTAAAAATCAATTTATGCATTTGTTGAGAGTGCAGTTCCTCACAAAATGCTATTATGCAACCTTTCAATAACTTTATAATTCCATTTTTGAAGTGTTTCTCAACATACTCAATATTTTCCAACATTCCCTTTGTGAAGAGCATCACGATACATGTGCTGAATTTTTCAAATTGTAAATTAATCTATTGTTATTGTTTATGGAATGATTTACTAAGGCACAGTTGAGGAGGAAATGCAGAAATTACCAGATGTGACTGGACCAAATTAGATTTCATCTAGTCACATTCATCTAACTGTCCAAATCACCAAAATTATGTTGTGCCATAAGAACTTGCCACCTCAGTGAGAAGCAAATTTACAAGCACAGTCAAAGAATTTTACATAACTTCTCTTTTGACAACTTCTAGAGAACTCATCTGTAAAAGATTTCCTTAAAGGACTGGGTGAACATCATCTATTTGTACCAACAAGAAATATTGGCAGTATTCCAGCTTATATACAATCTGTACAATTCCCCTCAAATGCAGACTTGTTTATAATCATGTTTTTCATCATTTTAACAAAAATAATCTGTATTTGATTTGTTGGCACAAAATCAAAATCAAAATGTTCCCACTTAGAAGTCATTGTTGTTAATCAATTGATCAAACAATTCCTATTTCACATTTCCCCATCTTCAGGACTCAGAAAGTCTCATAAAAATCCAGAATCACATTGCTAAATATTCATAAGACACGAAAGTTACAATGAAATGAAAAAAACCCACAAAACTAAAATCAGAGACACACAGTAGTAGCATTATAATAACCTGACAAAATAAATTAAGACACATAAAATAATTTATTGGGTTTTTTTTCATCAAGCCATGTAAAGAGGCCATACATGTCCTGTTTATTCTTTGATTTGATATCTATGCTCTGCCGCCCTCTGATTATGGGAATGAGCCCCAAGGTGACAAATTGTGGGATTAAAAAAAAATCTCTCCGGCAGGTTCTGCAAATATCTTCTGTCACTGATTTCTGGGGGTGGAGGGTTAATTCCCTCCCAATTCAGTTATCTTATGTGCAAATGAGTGCATGGTGGATCTGGACTTGGCCTTGAGAATAAAAGTCCCCAGAATTATTTCATGCAAACATGTACATTAAAATGATAAAATCATAAGCAGGTCTAGGATTTATTTATTTATTTTAGGGTGTCATGAACAGCTCTAAGAAAGACAGTGGAATCTGACTAAAGAGCCTACCCATGCCAGCTGAGAAAGAAGTGGAATGGATAGAGACAGATGCAATTCATTCAAACCATGCTGATGCTAATAAATAAATGGAATAGAAATTTAGCTTGACTTGATCTTCAAGTTAGCTTTCAGACCACAATGTCTGTAGTGGCAGAGAAAAAAAAATCACTGAAATAGGCAGGGCCAACTCAAGAAATATTGGTGCTTGGGATAGAACTGCAAATTGGACACCATCCCCCCCCCCCCCAACAAAGTCACAGTGTACAGTACCCAAAGCTATACAAATTATTTTGACATAAGGCAATATCCCACAATCAACTCTTCTTGGAGGTAAAAAAACACATTAAATAACTAGTAATTTGTTACTTTTTCATGAGAACTTTAATTTGTTGCCCGAACAACATACCCTTTGCCAAACAGAATGGCTTTCTTGGAACTCAAGTGCATTCTGAGTTTACTTTCTTTTAGAGTAAGCCTACACTAACATAAGAGATATAAGAGCCACGGGGCCTGCATAGGAGAGGCACTGTTTGAATAAGTTCTTAATTCATGCTTGTTCCATAGAAGTCACTTAAGTAATTGAGGAGAACTTTCCTATCTAGACTGTAACCTACTGTAAAAGCTACTGTGTTTGTAGTGGACATAAGAACACAAAAGGCAACCTGCCTCAATTTTTAAGGATTGAGAGAAGGAAAAGAATGGCCTAAAACTGGACATGGTCTTCATTCCTTCCCTGTCCCAACTCTTTTTATACTGCAGTGCTATTTACAATTAGCATTCTTTAAAAAAATAATAACAATGACTCAAGTCATTCTCATTCTGAGAAACTCTGTAGCAATATATCTATAAAGTATTAAATACCTTGCAGTTGTTTCTCAACTCTCTTCAGTTCTTGCAATATAGATGATATTTCCTGCAGGAATGTAATTATAAGTTTAATTTACTTTCATGAAGGGAAAATCCCCCACTTCCTACTAAAATTAATGAATTCAAAAGAAAGTTGTACAAAAAGTATTTCTTTACAAGGAAATTTGAAAGTTTTAAAATATCTTTCTTTCAGTGAGGCAGACAACCTCATGCCCTCCAAAGTGTCTGAACTACAACTTCCACAATCCTCGAGTAGTGGTTATGCTGTCTCCATCTTACTGTATGTTGTGACTCAGCTGGAATCACAGTGATGGTGTCAATGATTCTGATGGGGATGATGAGATTCAGATTCAGAGTCAGATGCAAGGCAAGGATGTGCCTGTGTTAGACGAGGAAGACCAGGATCAGGGGGCAGGAGTTCAATTGTTTCCCACAGCAAGGGTTGACGATGGGGAAAGTGAAACTACTGAGACTGAATGCCAGGTACCTAATGAAGGAATTAGGGAGGATAGTTCTCAGCCAGCTAATGAGAGATTTGACCTCAATGGGGCCAGTGAGTTAGATAGGGCTGATCGCTTGGAATTGAAAGTACAAAGGAGTGTCAGGATTGCCAGGAGGCGAGAGAGAGAGGCCCGAGGCCATAGGAACGCCTTAAATGGGCTGGTTGGATGTGCCTCAGAGCAACTTCACGCTTTAACCAAGAGCCTTTGGAATTTATCTTGTAGCTTTCCATGTTCATGTTTTAGGACTTTGCATTGTACTTGTGGGACTTTGCCTTGCCTGTGCCTTCATGGATCTTGTTTGCCTATGTTACCTTGGATTGATCTTTTGAAATATACTTTTGCTTTTTGAACTTTTTATCTTTATTCTAAATAAAACTACAAAGACAACTGCTGCTGTGTTCTTTGGTGTCTTAAGCAAGGTGGTTCTACTCTGAGGTGCGACACTGTAATGCTAGTAAAAAAAAATTAGATGGCATCATTTGCCTTCCCAGTTGAACTATTTATGATGAAATCACATGGCATTTGAAGAAATTTAATCTTGCTGCAGACAAATAATGTAACAAGCAAGTCAAGATGAAACATTAGACTTCCCTATGTTTGTTTTTAATTAAATCAACTGGAACAATTACATCAGCGTTCTGCCAACGGAAGAGGGAGTAAATAATTCCTCTCTGTATTACTGACTCAAGATCACTCTTCCCATACGCAATCCCAACAGTATTCAGGATTTCCTGTTTCCCTAGTTTTTCATTAGAAGGCGCAACTTTTTGCAAGTGAGTCCAACGGACTGCATGCAGTCCCACACAGCTTTTTATGGTCCTTAAAGCTCTCCTTGTCCACCCTCAAAGCTACCCAGTCATTTTTCTACTATTTTATTTCCCCTCAAATGGTTAGTCACTACCTCCAGAAGCAGTGGCTTATGTTTTAAAACCCACAATCCTGTGGAACCTAAACATGACAGTCGAAAGGGGATTCTGCTTGTGATGTTCAGCTGAAAATGACATTGTGTATGGCTCTCCTCAATCGAAAGGATCCTACAGGTGATCCTGGCCATGGATCTTTCATGTCCTCCCCAGATTGCCTCCTGTATTGTTAACCCCTTTCCCTGTTATTATTCTTCAAGCTGGTTTTAAAATAGGGGGAAGCAGGGACCTTCTGACTGAGCAGAGGCATTGAGAAGTCTATTTGATATTCAATGTAACATACGTGTGGAAATTGCTAACCCACTAAGTGAAGGAATATTTGTGGTTCAATGTGATGTCTATTGTAAACATGGTTACATTTCTTCCATGTAGAAGAAACGTAACCATAGCAAGGTTATCAATATGGTCTCTTCTAATCATATAGGAGGGATACTTTTTATGGGGATAAAAGAAGGATCTTCCTTGTATTGTAGAGTGGTTTTTTCAGATAGTTATCTATAGTACTTGTGTTCCACCCCTTATAAAATTACATGCTTATATGGCCCTTCCTAGGTAGTGTTTAAGGAATAAGTATATTCTTTTAACTAATCCCTGTCAGTGAAACTTCTCTGTTCAGCCTTTTCTTTTTTTCCTTCACATTTTCTGTCTAGCTAGATTTTTTTTCTAGCAATATTGAGATTGAGGGGGTGGTAAAAGAAAACTGAAGAAACACAGATAATAGATATCAGTTTGCACTAGCATGTCCACAGCAAAAAATGCAATAAACAAAGCTTGAACTTGGAAAGAGCAAGATTCTATTCTTCTAAGCATATGGTATCCATTCATGTGCCTGTCACTGTGGCAAAGAGAGGTTAAGAATACCTTATTGAGCATGAGGAGAAAAAGAGACAAAACAGGGTAGCAATTCAACCTGCCTTGGCTCACCAGATCCTGCCACCATGTTTTAAAAAACACAAAGCAAACTCCATTGTAAGTTTGGCTACCAAAGTGGAAATTATAAATGGAGTCATTCTTGGATGAACAGGATGTTTAAACAGGACCCAATTTGAAAAGTATTTTGGAAAAAAGGCTTTCATATAGAAGGTTAGAAATGTTTTTGTTCATTTACACAAAATGTAACCTGATCTGGCTGTTTCAATTTACATGTAGTTATTATTAGTTATGAATAAAGAATTCGCTGAAAATATTGAACTGTTTCTCTTTTTTTGTGGTGTAGGAAATTATTCCAATCCTTTTCATGTAACTTATTCCTCTAATACCAATTTTTTTCTTTAAAAAAGAATGGCTAGGAATACATCTATTTTGTTAACTAAGGCACCCCTGTACTTGTCATTGAACTGTTGTTAAAAAAACCTTTGAAACAGAGTCATTTTAGATAGAAAGCATCCTAAATCTACTCATCAACTTTTAACAACACCTGAATAATCTGTTCCTTTTTCAACACTATTTGTAAAAGTGAAAGATATCATACCATGCTTGATGTCTTCACAATTGGAATTTCACTTTCAGCTCGCAGTTTCTTTTCAATATCTTCCCAGTTCCGGTCTTTATCCTTAAACAATATTCTGTGCATAAGGAAAACAGAAGAATGATATGGGCTTTATAGCAGAAACATATTTATGTGCATATGTATATCAATGGAAATAAAAAAAACCAGTAATGCTGAGTGAAATACTTGATTTTCTTTTGTTACTGACTCAACCAAAGTTACTGTGTGCATGTGTGTGTATTTCTATATATTACAAAAAGTTCCAAAATGTGACATATTTCATTGAAGTTGATGAGTTATCTTAATTCATTCAAAAAGTGGCCAACAATTATGAGGATTTCATATTTAGGGACTGTTTGGGAAAATGTAAAAAATAACACATGTTTTTTACACAAAAATGTTTTTGTTTAATTTACAAAAATACCAGTGAAAATCACAGTTTTCTTTGCAGAAAAAAGTATTCATAATCCACAATAATTTCTGGACAAAATTTGCTCAAATAATGAAAAACTGTTAATTGAAAGTTTGTATTGGTATAATTCCTTTAGACCAATATGAGGGCAGTCTATAAATAAAGTTATTATTATTATTAATCTATTATAATTGCCTATTGACAACATACACACAAAGGAAGACAGATTTAGAGATTTAGAAGACTTTCCTCATTTTGTAAAGTATCAATTTTACACATTGTTGAAAAGTGAAGAATGAAAATATTATTAAGGTAAAAAGGGAGAACTCCTGTTTTGAACCATGGAGCAACTGTTAAAAAGGTAACAGGAACGGATTATACAATTATTACTTATATATATAAATATCAACCTACTTGACATCTAGATTTCTAACTTTCATACAATTTGCTTGAAATCTTGTAGGAAGGTAAGTAGACAAAATAGAGAATTAAACATTTTTTTCATTTCCTCATGTACAAAGTTTTTAATCACTTGTCTTTTAAATATAATTGTTTGTTTAATTGTTTCTTATTTTTCTAAAAGAACATCTCTCCTGAACTTTATTTTAAATTATTGTAAGCTGCTTGGGTCTCATACCAGCAGAAAAGTGGGAAGGGCTTATAATTAAAATATAAAGATATATAAAATGCTGTGACAAAAGATATTGTTTGGAATATAATGCATATCTGTAGGCTCTATTTGCGCATTTGGACCGAGAGGAGAAAACCAACATTAACTGCAAAGGCACACATGAAAAAAATGCAATAAACATATCATAGGGTTATACTTAATAGGATTGTAAATAAAATGTTTTTTCTTTCTTTCCATGTATGTATCCACATTCCAGACAGTTCTGATAAATGCTCCCTTGAATGGTAGGAATCTCAAACTGTGTTATTAAAAAGCATTTGTGAATGCTCATATTTCTATAATGAATTAACTAGTTATGGCATGTTATTGCCATCAAATGTTTACTGTTTTGATTTTCTTATTTTTCTATGAATGTCTATGGAGAAAAATAACTGCCACTCAAGGATATTATTTAGAATTTCATTCTTCTATAAACAGTGAAGAAGGCAAAAACTCAAAATTAATACTAAAGAAGGTCTTCAAAATAATATTCAGAATAAAGTAACATTCCAGTAATTAAAAATGTACAACAGTATATGTCAAATCTTATTTTGTGCATGTGCTGCAATGCTGAAATCTATAGAAAGTGCCTAAGTGCAAAGTCACTAAGGTTCCAGTAGCATATAGTACTTAAGAAGCTGCATTTCTTAAGTACTATATGCTACTCATATACTATATAAGACTCCTATATAAGACTTGTTGTTGTTCATTCATTCAGTCGTTTCCGACTCTTCGTGACCTCATGGACCAGCCCACACCAGAGCTCCCTGTCGGCCGTCACCACCCCCAGCTCCTTCAAGGCCAATCCAGTCACTTCAAGGATCCCATCCATCCATCTTGCCCTTGGTCGGCCCCACCTCCTTTTTCCTTCTATTTTCTCCAGCATCATTGTCTTCTCTAAGCTTTCCTTTGTCCTCATGACGTGGCCGAAATAGTTCATCTTGGCCTCTACTATTCTTCCCTCCAATGAGCAGTTGGGCTTTATTTCCTGAAGTATGGACTGGTTAGATCTTCTCGCTGTCCAAAGCACTCTCAGAACTTTCCTCCAAAACCACAGTTCAAAAGCATCTATCTTCCTTCGCTCAGCCTTCCGTATGGTCCAGCTCTCATATCCATAGGTTACTACGAGGAATACCATTGCTTTGACTACGCGGATCTTTGTTGCCAAGTGTGGTATCTCTACTCTTCACTATTTTGAGATTAGACATTGCTCTCCTCCCAAGAAGTAAGCGTCTCCTGATTTCCTGGCTGCAGTCTGCATCTGCAGTAATCTTTGCACCTAGAAATACAAAGTCTGTCACTGCCTCCACTTTTCTCCCTCTACTTGCCAGTTGTCAATCATTCTTGTTGCCATAATCTTGGGTTTTTTTTTTGTTTAACTGCAACCCAGCTTTTGCGCTTTTTTCTTTCACCTTGATTAGAAGGCTCCTCAGCTCCTCCTCACTTTCAGCCATCAAAGTGGTATCATCTGCATATCTAAAGTTGTTAATGATTCTTCCAGCAATTTTTACCCCAGCCTTGCATTCATCAAGCATTGCACATTGCATGATGTGTTCTGCATACAAGTTGAATAGGTTGGGTGAGAGTATACAACCCTGCCGTACGCCTTTCCCAATCTTGAACCAGTCTGTTGTTCCATGGTCAGTTCTTACTGTTGCTACTTGGTCCTTATACAGATTCCTCAGGAGAGAGATAAGGTGATTTGGTATGCCCATACCACCAAGAACTTGCCACAATTTATTATGATCCACACAGTCAAAGGCTTTAGAATAGTCAATAAAACAGATAAATAAATATATATATAAATAAATAAAACTACTCCAGCATATAAGATGACTCCCACGCATAAGGCTACTCCAGCGTATAAGACGACTCCCGCATATAAGAAGACCATTGACTTTTGAGAAGATTTTCTTGGGTTAAAAAGTAGTCTTATAAGACAGAATATACAGTGTGTGTGTGTGTGTGTGTGTGTGTGTATGGTTTGTGTGTGTATATATATGCTACTCATGAGTCTGTATGAGTCTCCCTTACAAATATATAGGTTTTTATCTCATCCTCATGCACAAGGGAGGACCTTCTTGCAGCAACACCAGAGGCACTCCAAGTGGCCAGATACTGGTCAAAGGACATTTAATCAACTCTCATACTCACAAATTCTGTAATCTGCTTGTTTGCTTTGTTTCTGTTAGAAATGTAATATAATTTGACTGGTTGTTCTGACACGACAAAAAAAAAATCTCATCCTGAGTTTTTTATCGTTGTATCTTGCACACGTGGTCCGCTCATTGTGATCGTGTTTGATTTTTTATTGTATTACTTTGGATTTTTAAAATATATTCTATGCTTGCTTTATTTTATCTTATTATGATGTTGCCTTATGCTTTTTATGTTACTGTATTGTAATGCATTTCTGGGCTTGGCCTCATGTAAGCCGCCCCGAGTCCCCTTCGGGGAGATGGTGGCGGGGTATAAATAAAGATTATTATTATTATTACTATTATTACTTAAAATCCTTGGCTGATGAAAAGGTTCAGCCAGCCATATAGCAAATGAGTGGCTTAAATAAAATAATCTCAGTCATAGGGAAGTTTGAAAATAAGCAGGAGGAAATAGATATATCAGAAAGCCTTAATGCAGAAATTTGGCTAGAGACAGAGGAGAAAAATGTCCAAGAGTGAGATAACAAGCCATTTGCTACAAGAAGACCAGTCAGAAGGAGGAATCAATGTTTGATTATAAATTGTTTTCTAATTTCCAAATGGAAGAAAGTTGAAGAGTAAAATAAACAACTACCACATAAACCAAGCAACACACAGCAATGATATTTAATTACCAGTGGATTATAATCCGTTTTAATCTGGACAGAATAAAAAATAATATACATCCTCCCAAAAATGTAGCAGCATCCTTCCATGGAATAAAGTGCACACAGGCAACTATGATGAACTGTTTTAGATGAAAATCAGAACAGAGAAAAGAATTGGCTGCCCTCTAAAATATGTCTCTTGTTTCTAGACTTTGCTTTGGAATACTTTAAAGAAGGAGTAGATAGAAAAAAGTGTATCTGTTGACTCCGACCATGTAATATGTGAATCAATCATAAATTTGGGCTTTTCAGTCTTGGATTTTAGCGTCTCGTATTTTTAATTCCTATGCTAACTCTTCTTTGAATTACTGCCAGGTTGTTTCTAAAACCCTGTGCAAATATCATTCCCCCACCCACCAAAACTAAGTTTAATTGGACATTTGATAGAAACTCAAAGTACAGATTGAGCATCCCTCATCTGAAATGCTTGGGAAATGTTTAGGCTTTGGAATTTTAAATTTATTTTGGAATACTTGTATTTACATATAAAAATTAGGCATTGAGCAATAGAGGGGTCCTTCTTCAATAAAATCAGTAATATGAAGTGAGTTTTGATTATGCCATTATCACATTATACATGTTGAGTATCTCTTATCCAAAATGTTTGAAACAAGAAGTGCTTTGGATTTTGTATTTCTGAACACCTGTAGTTGCATTTACCTACATAGTGAGATGTCTACATAGCAGACACAGGACCCAAGTTTAAACACAAATGTCACTTATGTTTCATACACACCTTATACATATAGCCTGAAGATAATTTTAAACAACATTCTAAAATAATTGTGTGCATGAAATAAAGTTTGTCCAGGTTATTTGGCAGATCATTTATGAACCACCCCAAGCTCTAAGATCAGCAGTAAGATCAGTTCCACAACTATTATAAGTACAGCTGGTGGGGACATGAGAAAAAGCCTAAAACCCTTTTATTCAGATGGGCTTTTAAAGAAGAAGTTTTTTTTAATGAGCCAGAGGGTAGTGTATAGTGTTTTCATTTTTGTTATTTGGTTGTATGTGATTTCAATTAATCTTTCTGTTTAATTCGATTTTAATATTTAGATGTTGTAGATTTCAAGTTGAATTGTTTTTTAAAGTTGTGAACTGCTTTGCATCTCAATTGAGATAAACGTGGGATGTAAATATAACAACAATAAAAACGATAAACTGATCCATCAGAAAGCCAGTTGGTTTCTATCTCAGACACACATATGAAGAAATTTGAGGGATTTATTATTTCTTATTATATTATTTGAGGGATTTATTATTTTCCCAATAGACATCACAGCACATCACTTACTGAAGTAAGCAAGTTGACTTTTAAAAGACAAGAACAATCAATCTATTTCTATTAAACAAAATTAAGCTAGCCCTTCGATTTTCGTGGGACATGAGCTGCAATCAAAGAAAAAGCTAATCTTTTCTTAACAACTTTTGCCAGAGGATTATACTAATCAGAAGCCCTGCTTACCTGATTTTACCAGCAGTTTTATCTATAGATTGTCTGATCTTCTTGGAAAACTGGAAGACTGAGGACAACAGCAATGTATCACCCATAACCTGAAAAGTTTGAAAAGATAACTTTACTGTAGTATTATTGTTACTTTATTATAAAAATTAAAATACTTTTTGTTGCTTTTTCACTCTGTACAAATAAGCTCAAGTACCGTATATACTCGAATATAAGCCAACCCAAATATAAGTCAAGGCACCTAATTTTATCACAAAAAAACTGGGAAAATGTATTGACTCGAGTATAAGCTGAGGGTGGAAAATGCAGCAGCTACTGGTAAATTTCAAAATAAAAATAGATACTAATAAAATTACATTAATTGAGGCATCAGCAGGTTAAATATTTTTTGAATATTTGCATAAAACTGTAATTTAAGATAAGACTGTTCAACTCTAATTAAACCATTATTCTAACCTTCTTCAATGTAAATGTGCTTATGTATCCTTCCAATAATAATAAATGGAATAAAATAATACATGTATTTAAAATAGTAATAATAGAGTAAAATAACAAATGTAATAATAATAACAACAACAATAATAATAATAACAGAGTGAAATAATAAACAACTTTGACTCAAGTATAAGCCATGGGGGGGGGGGGGCTTTTTCAGCCTAAAAAAAGGCTGAAAAACATGGCTTATACTCAAGTATATATGATACATTCACTTTAGCTAAACCTCAGAACCATATTAAATTGAGTTAAAGGAGTAAATTCAAAATCTTTGCCACAATATTAAAAGCATATTCATAGAAGAAGTATATATTGTTTTATATTATATAATAAGCATGTATTATGTCATAATTATAAATATTGGTAGGTTACATACCTGTGACCATCTTTCTTCGAGTGGTGCTCTGCGAATTCACACTTGTGGAGAGACTGCGCCTGCGCGGGCTCCAACGGAAACTTCTTCATTTTGAAACTTTTGAAGTTTTGGCGGTAACCCCGCCCAGCCCCGGCAGGGGATAAAAGGGCGCCCCGCGCGCGCCGCTCCAATTCCTACGCCGCCACGGTAGCGAGAAATTGGAGGTTTGCTTAGAGGGAGGCTGGGCGGGTTAGTGTGAATTCGCAGAGCACCACTCGAAGAAAGATGGTCACAGGTATGTAACCTACCATTTTTCTTCGTGGTCTCTGCGAATGCACACTTGTGGAGACTAGCAAGCTCAGGTCCCGGAGGCGGGAAGTAAGCAAACCGACCATTGAAATCAAGGGCCAAACAATTTTATTAAGTGCAAAACAGTCATCAGCAAGAGATTGTAATCACTTCCGAAGAAGGGCATAGTGCATAACAAGAGGTCGCAAACACTTCCAAAGAAGGGCACAGTGCATAAACCTATGGGAGTACGTGATCCTCCCGGCCACTCAAGGGTGACCAACAATTGAGTAAACTTATGACCCTTGAAATAAACCACATGGTGATTGTTGAAGACACTCATTATAATGAGGGCACATTAGGCAGCAATAAAAAATCAGTTGCTAACAAAAGTACAACACATTTGGAAAGCAAAGCACCTATACAGACACAGAGTACCCGTGATGGGCCCATTAGGCCACCGTGCAATGGCTGCCTGTGCCTCAGGCAGTAAGGCATCAAGCGTAAAGGTGCAACTTTATTCCCAGCAACGAGAAATTCAAGTATTAAACATGGCAAATAACATTCACAATAACACACGGTATCGAAGGAACACTCGGTACCGATAACGCACCCAGTCAAAGAACTTTAAGGCGGGTATGAGGCCAGAACTGCCCTCCCAAAGGCCATGTCAGGTGTAAACCTGGTATTCAACCTATAATGTGACACGAATTTCTGGGGATTTTTCCAAATGGCCGCTTTGCAAATAGCGTCCAGGGGAATTCCCTTAAGGAAGGCTGTCGAAGCCGCCATAGCCCTGGTCGACCGAGCCCGGACGACCGAGGGTGGTTGTTGCCGAGCCAGTTGATAGCAGAGCTCGATGGTCAAGGTGATCCAGTGCGACAAACGTTGCACCGTGATCGGCAGGCCCACCTTATCGGGGGCATATGCAACAAAAAGTCTCTGCGACCGTCGAGACTGGGCAGTCCTGTCCCTATAACACAGCAATGCTCTCCGCACATCGAGCATATGAAGTCTCTTTTCCCTCGGGGTCGAGGGGGATTGACACAAGGAGGGAAGAACAATGTCCTCATTGACATGGAAAGGGGACACGACCTTAGGGAGGAATGTCACATCTGTGCGGAGAACTGCTCTGTCTCCGTGGACAACAAAATAGGGTTCGTCCACCCGCAATGCCGCCAGCTCCGACGGCCGACGGGCTGAGGTGATGGCAACCAGGAAGGCTACCTTCCATGACAACAGCCGAAGGTCGATTGAAACCAAAGGCTCGAAAGGCAGTTGCGCGAGCCTAGCCAGCACGAGGTCGAGGTCCCACCCCGGAGTCGGAGACCGAACCGGGGGATGCAAGT